CTGAAAAGTATAAGCATGCATATGTACTCAGTACTTGGTTTGGGCCCCTTTTGCAGCAATTACTGCCTCAAAGTTGCTCTTATCAGAAAAGAGGACTTTTGTGTGTGCATGGCATGGACATCCACATGGGTGATGGCGGTAGGGTTGGAACGGAATCTGGAACCCACCACTGCGACATTCCTATGTAGTATAGCAAAGAAAAGAATCTAGACATTCAAACAAAGTTTATTAGGCTAGTGGCCTTCCATAAGATAACGGTGGATAACATCCCAAATTGAAGAAGCTAAATTCTCATGCAAGAGACAGCTGAGTATCCTCCATTCTCAAAGGACCCTATCCCTCCATTTATTTGTATTTTTGAATTACATATGCAGTTGTTTGGATAGCCACTATTTAATCTTCTTTTTTCAGGAACAGAATTCAGGAGGATATTCACATAATAATAAGTTCATTCAGCAATCAGAGTTAAACAATCCAGAATATACTGATATTTCATCTATTGAGGTCTAATTTTCATGTCCGCATATTTGTAAGAATAATTTTGCCCCTTCCCAGCAGCCCAGTTGATGCCATCAGCATAAGAGCTATGTTCCCCTTTGTGATAAAGGCCATTCAGGTTGGAAGTGTGGCAGACACCATACCACCAACCTCCCTTGTACATTGCAGCACAACTTCCAGATTTATGGGCATCATTGTCTTTGTCTTTTGTAGAGAATGCCAGGCCATTATGTCCTGAGAAAGAATCCCCTGAGTGAAGATAATCAGAGGAGAAAGTCAATGATTTACAGTATAGTTGCTTTCATTCAGAGTGCTACAACTGTGAAAAATACATATTCTCTGCTAGGAAGAATTCAGCAGGAAATCAAACATAATAGAATGCATAACTTATATGCAGAAATTCCCAACTCAGCCTATCACATTACCAGGTAGGAATTTCTTATACCAATGTTTGCTTAACCATGGTTTATTAAATAAACCCTAATTGTCAAATCATGCCACATGCCAAGCTATAAACCATGGTTTACAAACAAAGCTAGACTTCATAATATCCTAACTAAAAAACAACCAACATAGAACAATGTAATAAGATCACCACTCACTATTATATGAGAGATATGTAAATTGTTATATATACAAATTATATATATTTAAAACTCTAGATGCAGTTCTGGAGCTTACTTATTCATTCATGATTAAAGTTAGGAAAAATGAGAAAGAATCAAATAGCAGAGTTATTTTAAAAAGTTATTTAACACAAAATAATAGAAAAGCAACCCTAAGGCCTAATTCACACCTTTTTCTTCCTGGTGGCAAAGTGCAACAAAACAAATTTAGCTCCTTTCATAGATATGCATGTATGAATGGATTGATATTTTAACAGAGAACAAACTATTTCTGCTTCAGACCAGATAGCCAGTCCTGCGTGGAGCTTAAGGCACTGGGCTGGAAACCAAGAAACTGAGTCCTAGTCCCTTATGAATAAAACCAGCTGGGTGACCTTGGGCCAGTCTCTCCCTCCCCCCTCCCCTATCACTTTCCCTCCCACCTTCTCACCCCAGAAAGCAGCCACAGGCAAGCCATTTGTGAAATCTTTCCAAGAAAATTTCAGGGACTTGTCCATGAGGTTGCCAGGAGTCAAAATGGGTTCAATAGCATAAAGTTGGTTAGTTCTTTAGGCCAACCTAAACAGCAAGGAAGGAATTGTTCATTTGCAGTAAGGGTATAAAACTGGTGGGACAGATGCTTCACATGCAGGCCACGCCCACAACAACTCTGCGAAGGGCAAACATGTTGTGAAACTTCATGTGATGCAACCTGATGCCGCAGGTTTAGCAATTTAGCAAAATTTAGCAATTGTTTCAGACCGCGACCATTCACAGTTACAATAGAGAAGAAAAAGTAACTTTGTGACCAATGCCCACACTTATGATTTTGCAGGTCTTCTAAAACAAAGGAAAGCTGAAGTAAGATCACAAGCACAGTTATAGTTTCACTAAGCGACTGCTTCGCTTAACAACAGAATTGCTGGTCTCAATTATGATTGCTAAATGAGGACTATGTGTACATATTCTGATAGCTTCATGGGAACACAGACATAATTGTTTCAAGAGAAGGACATTTGATTTGTTTAAAGAATGACATAAATGCATCAAGTCTAATATTACTTGCAATGGTTCCAAAATAATGCATTTTTTCACCATTAGCCATACTACTAATTCTAAAATTCACTATCAAAAAGAATACATTTCTTTTTTTATTATTATTATTATTATTTTTATTTGACATTTTCCAAACATTAAAATCACAGTTACACTTTTACAGCTTTCTGTTATCGGTATTTCTTTTTTCTGATTTTGGGTTTTCCATTTTCCATTCTATTATTTTATACATATTCTTCTTTGTTTCATACTTTCTCATTTTTACAATATATTCATCTATATACAATATTTCCATCTCTATTGCTTTCTAAATATATGCCATCTCCAGTGACGTGCGGTGAGGTTTATGGCTGGTGAGGCAAGCGGACAAAAGCCGCCCTGCCACCCCGGCGCTATGTCCGACATAGAGGCAGGACGCCATGTCCAACAAAGAGGCATCCCGCCTCTATGTCGGACATAGCGCCGGGGTGGCAGGGCGGCTTTTGTCCGCTTGCCTCACCAGCCATAAACCTCACCGCACGTCACTGGAGATGGCATATATTTAGAAAGCAATACAGCTGGAAATATTGTATATAGATGTATATATTGTAAAAATGAGAAAGTATGAAACAAAGAAGAATATATATAAAATAATAGAATGGAAAAT